ATTACCCATTGTCTTTAGGCTGCTGATCTACAAATTCCTTTTTATATTTTGATCAAAATCACAAGCGAGTATTTAATTTCTAACGAAACAGGTTTTATATTAAAAACTGTAAAAAGAGTGAACTCCAAGTTAACTAACACAAAAAGATGTTTCTATTTGGAGCAGGTGGTGACTAACACAGAGAGAAAAAGTTGGCCAAGGTACATGAAATAAGAGTGGATAATTTTCAGCCCTTTGGAACATCATATCCCTTCCTCACCAGGCTCATGAAGGAGTGGAAAGATAGTAAGAACCATGGTTGATTACTATAAGAAAACAATTTCTTAGCCCACAATAAGTCAGGTGAGCATATGAACTCACATTAAGTGTGACAACATGCACAAACCTAGTGCAAGCACACAGAGGACCAAATCCCTCAATTGAGATTGGAGGTAGTCATAAAGACCTGCCACTAGCTGAAGAATTACTGACATTTGACACATCCATGGGGAGAAGAAATGAGAATTATTTTCAAGAGTTATACACTGGGTTAGTCAACTATGTTCCAGTGGAATACAATCCAAAAACTTTAAGACTAGGACTCATTTTCCTTGAGGGTAGAAAAGTATGGCAGAAAGTTCTTGGGCTACACATAGGTGTTAGATCTAATATAATTGGAAGAAGGGGAAGAAAATCTACAGTACCCACTGAACACAATTCTCAAAGAACTAATAGAGAGCAATAACCAATTCCTTAATCTTGCCAGTGACTTAAAGTTGTAGTCAGTTTGTAACAAAGCTCCTGGAATTGGCAAAGAAAGGAATACCACCAATACCACAAAGCAGAACACTTATGCTGTGCACAGTAAAAATATGTAGGTCCCCCTCACTTTAAAAGAGCACCCATAGAAGACTCCAAATGAGAATATGGCAATTCCTTGGGAATGTATTTGATTGAAAATGCCGGTCAAATGGATCCCTGATATAAACTGATGAAATACAGACTTATTACCATGGGTTATCACAAAGAGATTGTTGTAACTATTACACAAGCCATCATGATACAGATTAAGATGGTTACAGGATTGGCAGCATTTAAAAATGGTTCTGTGTTGCAGGAAGTAAAAAGAGTTGTAAACAGGAGTAGCCCATGGCAGTTTCCATCAAGGTTTCAAAATTAACTGACAATGGTCTAAAGTAAGTCCAGAGTCCTGTAATTAGAGAAGGCCTAAGACCATATTGCATCTGGAATGCCTTCTGCTGAGGAAGGTAATATGCCTGCTGTGGAACTGAACCCACATAGAGGTAATGTGTATTACAGCTAGCAGACCTGATGTTATGAGATGTCACAACATGGCCCAGATTATCTCAATATTACACTTAGATATTGGATATGGGTCTGAAATTTGGAATATTTTAATGATGACTGCTGTTCTTTTTCTAATTCATTGTTTTGTGATACTGATTTCTGGTATGGGGGAGAATTTTGAAGGAGGGAAAGGTAGGATTTCAAAGTGTTTGAGCTTATATACTGAAAGTAGGTCATTATTCACAGAATTTTGAAGGTTGTACCTACCTCAAGCTTTGGCCTTCATTCTCAGATTCCTTGTCCTCTACTTTGAAATGATGATAGATCCAAATCTCACCACCTGCAGCCCACCTGAATCCTATGTGTCTTTCCTTAAATAATGATGGTATTTCTTATACATTAGGAAACAAAATAAGCTTATCTTCCATTTCATTTTTCATTTCAGGTCAATTTTTTCATAGGGAAGTAAGAAGTAATTAATAAAATTGATTAATAATCATTTATTTATTAGTCAATGCAGTCCTTGTTTATGTGAATTGATATGTATGTTGGATTCTGTTAGAATATTGGAATACTTGACCTGGAGAGTTGCTTATTAAAGAAGTACCTTAGCTTAAAGTATATTGTCTGAGAGTATAAATATCTTTCTTCCAGGTTCTGACTCTAACAATAATATCTGTAATTGTTACTATAAGAATACATTTGACCATTGCTTATTTTAATAAATTTTATCTTGAGACACATGTTATCTCTAGAGGAATAATCTGTCTAGATTTTCCACAACAAGGTATTTATTACATTTTAAAGAAAGAGCATGAGCTCATTTTAAAAACAATGTCCACTTGTCTTATGGCCAATTTTTCACTGCTGCAGATCTCAATGGAGATTTATGACTTTTTCTATTTGTATGATTTTACTAGATTGTATTGGTTTTATTTACTTATGTACTAATTTATCTTACATGTCTCTGTGTTTTAACTGAGAAGGAAAAAGAAAGGGTGTGTTTTGGGGTGGGTAGAAAGGTGGGGATGATCTGGGAGGAGTGGGGTAATGAAAACCATGATAAGAATATAGTGTATGAAAAAAATCTATTTCCAATAAATAAGAAAATTTAAGAATTGAAATCATGATATCTTGTAAGTTTGGGGACTCATAATTCTCTGCTTTTTCATAATTTAGCTTACTCGTCATTTGCTTAGATATTATGGTTTCCAATTATATTTTTATGTCTTTTTTGTCTTTCCTTTTTCACTTATCGAAAATATCTTTTTTAAATACATGATATATCCTACTTTCTGTTTCCCCATTCTCTTCTTCTCCTGCTCAGATCAAATCCCATTCTATCTCTCATTAGAAAAAAATCAGGCTTCTATGGAATACTTATAAAATGTAGTATAAAACAGAAGCATATGAAACAAAAACTAATATATCTGAATAGTACAAAACTACCACACAAGAGGAGAATTGTCTAAGAAAGCACATAAGCAAGTATACACATAAAGACCCACTTGTTCACACTCTCAGGAACCTTATGAAACCACTTATCTAGAAGCCATAATACATACAAAAAATAAAATAAAATAAATGAAATGCCCTGACAGGACATTATGATACAAGGAAGCTGCAAAGACATGATTGTTTTCTCTTGGGAATCTACTGTATCTTTGTAGCCTATACTTAAAAGAAGATTTTGTTGCCTAAGTGAGACTCTCTTAGAGAAAACTAGACTTTTATTTGCAATTGCCTAGCAATTGGAAATAGATACTTGGTTAGGTATGGAAGAATGTGAACACTCTAGTTTTAGCTCTGGGATCCCAATTGTTAAGGACCAGTGCAGGCCTTGTGTATGTTGTCACAGTTTCTGTGAGTTCATGTGTGCATTTATCTTGATGATGTAGAGGGTCTTGTTCCCTTGGTGTCCTATATGCCTTCTGCCTCCAACACTCTTTCTGTTTCATCTGCCACAGTGTTCCCTGAGCCCTGCGGGGAGGGATTAGATGGAAGCACAGAGTTTAGGGCAGAGAATTCCAAGGTCTAATATTCTCAGCATAATGTCTGTTTGTGGGTCTCTATATTGGCTCTCATGTGCTGCTTGAGGAAGTTTCTTTGACAATAGTTGAGAAAGGCCCTGATATATTCCAAAATGCCATTATAAGGCATTTTATTGCTGTGTTATTTACTAGAATTGTAGTATTTGGTTTTCTCTAGGTCCTTGAGCTATCTAGCTTTAGCTGCTTTGAAACAAGAAATTAGTGTCAGGTATGTTTTCCATTTCATGGATTGGACTAAAAGTCAAATCCAATGTTTGTTGGTTACTCCCCCAAGATTTATGCCACTATTGTTTTTGCTTATTATATTGCAGGCTGTACACCAGCGTGTAAACATATGTTTGTGTATGTGAGTGTGTCTATATTTCCATGTATTCTACACACTTTACTTTGTTTTGATAATCTTTGTTCATTTTGTTCTGGTTGGGTTTTTTTCCTCATTTGTTTTCTAAATAGAGAAAATATGCTTTTAAAAGTCAACAAAGTAAATATATTCACAAAGATAGAATCTGGCTGAGTTTTAATTTAATTAAAATTGTAGATATAACTAACACTAACTTATTGTTGAAATTTTATTGTCTGTGAACTATAAAAGACTGATTACAATGAATGACAACATACAAGGCAAACAACACATAAGGTCTTAAACATTTATGCAAAGACACACACATATATATATATATATATATATATATATATTAAGATTTATTTATGTATTATGTATACAGAAGAGGGCGCCAGATCTCATTACAGATGGTTGTGAGCCACCATGTGGTTGCTGGGAAATTGAACTCAGGACCTCTGGAAGAGTAGTCGGTGCTCTTAACCTCTGAGCCATCTCTCCAGCCCGCAAACATATATTATACAAGAAATAAAATGTGTCAGAATTATACATTTATATGAAATGTTGATAAGATATGGGGAAACATGTATTCACAAATATGTAGGAGTTTCATAGTACAAAGTTTCAGTTGAAATAAAATAGAGCAATTTATCAAAAGTGAATAATTATAAATGACTGAGTACACAAAACATTTGGACATCTACAATCAATGATATCCATGAGCACACATTCTATAGAAGTGGTTACAGCAGGGCTTTTCACATTTCTCACAGATCTAAAAGTACCATCATGAAACTGACTGGGAAAGTATCTGATTAACTGTTATCTGATTTGAGTTATAATTAAGTAATAGACTGGTCTTTATTCTATTTTAGTATGCATCTCATTATGCAATTATATGGCAGAGTAATATCTTCATGTCTAAATGGTATTCATTTTTTAAAACGTGCCTTCCTTCATAGCAAAAACATACATGAAATGTAAACACAAATCTTGGAAACATACCAAGGGCATCAAAGACACATGGATACATATAAAAACATTTGGTGCTATAAAGGCAAAGTTATACAATGTTGAAGAGGTGAAAAATGCATACATGTCCCATTCATCTTTTCTTTAATATTAATTGAGAGAGACAATAAATTTTATGGAAATAGGCTTTCTAATGTAGAGAAATACATAAAAATATTAGAAGAGTAGAGAATAAAGTTGGATAAATGAAAGCAATAAATTTAAAAATTTAAATTACTGTATGATCTCTGACAATTGGATTTCATGCTAAACAGACTCAAAGACTTGTACATAATTAAGAAAAACATGGACTAAGCTGTAAGATCCACTTTTCCTCTAGAATGTGCTTTGTTCCTGACATGATGAAGCACATTGCTATGTGGTCTGAACAAAATAATATAGCACTTGGGAAGAAAGATGCATCCTAGGAGACCTGCACTGGAAGCCAAAATGGAGAAGACTTCCATGGCCACCATGAGTTTCCCCTTGGTGCTGTGGTAGACAGGAAGGAAGGTGACCCACACACTGAAGAACACCAACATGCTGAAACTGATGAACTTGGCTTCATTGAATGTGTCAGGCAGGTTCCTGGACAGGTAAGCCATAGTGTAGCTTCCAAGTGCCATGGAGCAGAGGTATGCCAGGACAGAATGGAAGGCAATAGTAGAGCCCTTGTTGCATAGAATAATTATGTGTCCATGTTCAGTGTAAGCATCTGAGTCAATAAATGGAGGAGAGGTGCTCAGCCAAATTACACAGATCACAAGTTGGATAAGGGTGCAGACAGGAATAATGAGGTTAGGAGCCCTTGATACCATTATCCACCTTATCAGTCTTCCTGGCAATGTGATCTTGAAAGCCAGAACCACAGTAATAGTTTTGGCCAAGACTGTGGAGTGAGCCACTGTGAACAGAACTGCAAATGTGCTCTGCTGCAGCATACAGGTGACTGTGTTGGGATGACCAATGAATAGCAATGGACAGAGAAAACAGAAGATCAGAGTGATGAGAAGGATATAAGAGAGAGCCCAGTTGTTGGCCTTGACAATGGGAGTGTGGTGGTACTTCACAAAGACCCCCAAAACAACAGCTGTTAGTGAAGAAAAGCCCAAAGCCAAGTTGATGAGTGCCATCCCCAAAGGGTCTTCGTAGGACAGAAATGTCACTACTTTCTGGAGGCAGTGGTTCTGCTCTGTGTTTGCATAATGACTTTCTGGACACCTCACACAATGATCCATATCTACTGAGGAATTAAAGTTATTGTGAGTCTCTGCACAGGTTCTCATTTTATCTCAAGCCACTTCCCAGCACCTGCTCTCTGTCAGTTGCCCACATTTCCTTTTCATGTTTCAGACTCAAGTAAATATGTTCTCAATAGTAATAATTAACAAATGATCTCTAATGAGTCATTTCAGATCAATACTGCCAATCTCTTTGTTGGACATGAAGTGAACAAGTCTGTCCTTCTCATTGCTATACTTAAATGTATTCACAAGTAAGTGATAATTAATATTTTTTAATTTATATTGTCTTAAATTATTGAATTAAATTACATAAACCTGACTTGATTATAGAACCCCCTCCTTCTTAATTCCTTTGTGTGACTTTGTCATGTTAGTTAAGTACATCTTTACATGCCTTGAAATTTCTTTCTTGTAGTTTTGTTTTCATACTCAATATCAAAATTAAACTATTTCCATAGAGTTTATTGAATTCCCCAGTGTGTTTATTCTCTGATAGTGCTTATGAGAATGAGAATTATTAGGTTCTTGAATGGTGGAAAAACTCCCTTTATGAAAGTCTTTAATCATTCCCAGGGAGAAAAGATCTATTCAACAGATAGTTATAAAACTCTTGTTTTAGTCTTAGTTAATAATGGAATAATTTTGTGATACTTCATCTTTTCTAATTTGTGAGTTTCATCTTGAATTCAAAAGATATGTGTCAATGTACTTACTACATATTTTCATTAAAATAATTCTATTTCATACTTTAATTAAAAACATTCAATATTTTTCAAAGTGGAATTTGCAATTTAATTGTTGAAAATTCTAATTAAAAACCTATTGAATTCATCTTTTTGCTAGTGTCTACAGAATCTTTTATTCCATTATGAGCATTTTATTTGTTTCTTCTAGATGTGCCTTCCTGCTATGCTCACACTCTCAGAGTACTATGTCTCTACTGTGTTCCGTGTGTTTACTTCTATTGGTTTCTAAACAGAGCAAGAATGCTTCATATGCACAACCACATATATTCTTTAGTGAAAGCACAGGGTACACAAGTCATGACAAATATTTTATAAAGATATGAGTATGATTTTTTTCAATACAGATACACCTCATTTTATAGGATTTGAGGCAGAGGATTCACTGTTTTGAAATATTTAGCATTGATCTGTTACTCTTATGGGGGACCTGGTTTCAGTTGTAAGTACCTACATGGTGGTCAATGCTATCCTTGCCTCCACAACCAGGAGATATGAATCCTTCTTCCAACTTTGGTGTGCACTAAGCAAGTACATGCACATACACATGCATGTAGGCAAAACACTCAGAGATAAAACAAAATGAATGAAAATCTAAAATAAAACATTTAAAAATATGTCCACAGTTAAATCAAATTTGACCTTTCTGATAACCTCTGATAAACATAGAACCATGACTAAAATTATGCATGTAAGGGTCATAAGGATAAAACCATTAAATGTGTGTTAACTATAAACTAAATATGCTTTGAAATACATGAAAAATCAGGAATTTATACTCTGTGTGTGTGTGTGTGTGTGTGTGTGTGTGTGTGTGTGTGTGTGTGT